CTGCAACAACGGCACTATGTCGAAAGTTGGGGACCCAACATTGTTTCGTGGGGGAGGTTGAAGTCAGCAAATGCAGTCTGGATACCTACCCCGCTTCTTCAAAAAAGGGGAGGTGTTAAGTCGGTTTCCAGAGAACTCCAACAGAGCCTCCAGAGGCTCAAAAAGAGCTCCAACCAATCAGAGCACGACAGAACATTCTGGAGTTCCAACGTGGCACGCTATCATTGGTCAGTAGCAATTTATGTCGTTAAGTGGATTGGCTGAATTAGGATGTTGATTTAATTTAAGCAAACATCTATAAATACCTACGATTTTCTGTACAAAGATGAACCTTGCAATAAAGCATCTTCTCGTTACTCGTGTCTTCTCTCTGGTCTTCAAGTCGCTGAGTAGTGCTAGTCCTGGGGTTATCCGAATAGCTTAGGATCTGAATATAGCGTTCAACCTATAAGATATATCAAAAGTAGAAAAGCAATCGGCAAATTCTCTAAAGAATCTAAAGAAAAAGGGAACAATTACGTCAGAGATTCATAATTTCATTAAGCCTACTGAATCTTATACGCCACGACTGTACGGTTTGTCTAAAGTTCATAAACCAGGTTCTAGATATGTACAATTCTCCTTAACAAAAAATTGCAAAGTGGCTAGTGCGAATCTTAGAGCCTCTGCACAAATCGTTTGTTAGAATGAGTGTAAAAGATGTTTTCGATTTCACTTCCAAAGTGGAAAATATGAATGTTAGCATGAAAAATATGTTCTCACTGGATGTAGTATCTTTGTTTACCAACGTACCACTTATCGAGACTATTGAGTTTATATGCAAGCGAATATCAGAAAAACAATTCAACATTGGCTTGTTTGAAGGAACTGCTTTTAAGATGTATGATGAGTGTCTATTTTGTCTTCAACAATACTTATTATAGACAAATAGACGGGATAGCCAATGGCTCACTTCTAAAGCTTATTCTAGCTGATCTCTTCCTAGCAAAGCTAGAAAATGGACCACTTTATGAAGCTATTAAGAAGCTTGATCTATACTACCGCTACATCAACGACACATTCATTGTCGTAAATCAGAACACCAGTAAGAATAAACTCCTAGAACAGTTCAGCAGTGTACATCCAGCGGTTGGTTTCACTGGTGAAGGTGAGTGTGATAAAACGTTGAATTTCCTTGACGTCAAACTAAGCATGGCAAGTGATGGCTCGTTAAGTAGAAGTGTACATAGAAAAAGTCCCTCTGTCTGCCAATATACTCACTTCTATGGCTTTACACCTTTCCAATATAAGAGAAATTTGGTCAGATGCCTTACTAGTAGAGCGAAAAAGATCTGTTCAGTAGATACTTTAAGTCAAGAGCTGGAATTTATCAATAACTCACTGATAGAGATCGGCTACCGTAGGGCTTTCATTAAGAAGTACATGTACGGTACAAGAAAGAAGTTTGAGATTTCAAAACCTTTTCGAAAGAAACCTTTATACATGAAACTACAATTCAACAGGGATGTGGCTAGTGATACTCTGAAGGATAGGTTGACGAAAGTAATTAGCAGGACATTCTACGCGGCCAATCTGGCGTTGACTTCTCTATGTACATTTAGAAGTTCAGCTGCTCCTGTGGAGATAGCTATATCGGGCGTACTACTAGGCAATTTAACCAACGAATGAATGAACGTCTGCCAGCATGGTTTGAGATGGGCCACATAAAAACAATATGCAGTTCTATCTTGGCGCATCTAATTGATAGTGGTCATAATATAGATAAATCGAAATCAGTTCGAGTGATCTATCGTATAACTCCATCATTTTCCAACGGAGTTAGTTCCCGTCTCCCTCATATAGCTGAAGCCATAGGAATTAGTACATTTCACCCCAATTTATATGTGCAGAAGAATTTTGTAGCCACCTATTCCTTCCATGGTCGGATATAATTTAAGAAATGACATTATTTTATGGTTAAAATCAAGCGCCATCACGTTATCCATCTAGCTACTGAGTGTATTGTTTGTTTTGAATCTTCCCATTCATGTTTAGGACTGCAATTGATCAGTCTATTATTGGTATATCTGCATACTGTGCGTGTTGCGTCCATATAGCCTTAATTCACAAGCATTATAAGCAAAGATGAATAGTGGCTAGCAATGCAATCCAGTTTGACGCGCATTTCGTCCTATTTGGGACTCATCAGTTGAATGTACCTGCATCTCAGAGTTGATGTTCACTCCAATCAGGACTCGAATCCTGTACTGTTTTCTTTGAAAGCCATCATGTTATTCACTTAGTTACTGAGTATATAGTTGTTAAGGGAAACAATTTTTAAACTGTTTCGAATTAGGAACTTAAAAAAATACAAAAAATTTCATGCTTAATACCCTAATTATGACTAATTATTATACTTATAGACAGATGATATTATTGATTTGCATTATAGTTTATTACGTTGTCATAGTTACATGAGTTGATGTATGGTCAACTAAATAAAAATAATTGATCACCGTAAATGAAGACACACCCAACCCAAAAATTAATGTAAAACGTTCATAAATGTTGATGAATAATAAACATAGAGGTAAATGAATAGTATTGTATTTAATAATTGAATTCAGGAGTTGATTAGATCTAGATCACCATGGAAAAACGGAAAGCACTGTATGATCGTTTCGTTTTAGTATGAGGATCATCAACAGTATATATCCACGATCTCATACATGGGATTTGAACCCAGGGCTTTCAGTTTCGCACACCTTTCTGAGGAGTCTTATACCAGGACTAAATAGCCGTCCAGTGCTTCCAGTTTTTCCATGGTGGTCTTTTCAATGAAATATCCATAAAATATTTGTGATAAGAAAGTGACAATCATTAATAACCATACAGAAGACAAATTATACACATAAAGTATTCAAAGATGATTATTTATTTACTACATCACTTTACTTATATTTCGTCAGCCAGAAGCTTCATTATATACGGTAATGAGTAAAATGAATGAACTCCGGTCGAAAGTACAAATACTAGATATACTATTGTATAAAACAACAGAATCAACTATCTTAATCAAATACAAAATATAAGAGGTGGTCTATCGGTTAAGTGCTCTGGCACGAGACTGGTAGGTCTTGGATTCGAATTTCGCGAGGCAGGATCGTGGATGGGCACTGTTGAGGAGTCCCATAATATGACGAAACGGTCATCCAGTGCTTCCAGGTTTTCTATGGTTTTCTAGCTTCAATTGACTCATGATTTCAACTCCATAAAAGTAAATAGCAAATACATTTAAAATGAATATAAACCAAGAAAAATCATATGGTGATTTCATTGTATGATATTTGTTGGGGTGATCCAGAAAATTGCTTGCAATAGAGAAGAAAGACTCAGGTAACATTAAGAAGCATTTTACCCAATCATCGTTCAGTAGAAGTTTAGCCAGAAACATCATGGAAGGAAGAAGTCACATGTAGAGTTTTTGATTGGCTGGTTACTACACTGCTACTAGGTTTACTAGTATTCCACAAACTTTCAGGAAAACCCAAGGACTTCTCAAATACTATAACCCTATATTTTCTGTACATGAATGAACCTTTGGAGTAAAGTGCTTCTCATATATTTTGCGCCTTTTCTCTCGTGTTTAAGTCATTGTGTAGTTCTAGCTTGGAGGGTTACGAGACTAGCTTAGGATCCAAATATAACATTCAATCAGCAAGACTTATCAACATTGAGTCATATAGAATCAAGGTGGATAAAAAATAGAAATTACAATGAAAAGATTTTCGAAAATACTGTAAAGGTGTTTGGTCACCAGTTTCTTTGGAAACCAATCTATAACATTACTGTCAACATTATAAGTAAATAATGACTGCACAATATTGAACACAATTCCTTGTTATTTTCATAGTTAAAATCATGAATCAATTGAAGCTAAACCACCAAGTTAAAGCTGGAAGCATTGAACGCCCATTTCATCTTATTGTGGGGCTCCTCAGCAGTGCGGTCTCGCGTCAACTGGTCTTCTAAATACTATATGTATTTACTTCCTGAAAACAGATACTTTATATACATAGTTTATCATTTGATTCCAACTGTTTACATTCATGAAAAAACATAATATTTTGACTCAGAAACGATCTTTACAATTGGGATAATCAAGAAAGTATATAAAGTACCGGATAGCTCAGTAATAACGTTTCTGAATGTGAAGCTAGGTGACACGGGATTGAATCCGTCAGGAAGTACTAGTTCCTTCAAGATTACAGGTACACCTTACTGACTAGCGCCAAGTAGCACGAAACCTGGGGTCCAGAGTTTCTTGTTGACCACCTCCAACCACTATCTTATATAGTATCCTACTCGTTCCAAATATATTTAAGTAAAAGAGCGGTAGATATATTGAAATCATTGAAGTATATCAGTATTGATTAATAGAGAATTAAATCAAATATCCAATTACATTTAATCCTATTATAAAATATATTAGTTACCAATATGCATTGTGATGAATAAGAAGGGGGGGGGTTGATAACACAAAAGTATTTAAACATTACAAACATATATACAAGAAACTAAATCGACATAGTTACAATAATCTTTTTTACAGTTAATGATTGTAAATTATAAAACAACATTTAAATGAATTTTATAAAGATCAAATGTTGAATAAGATTAATTCATTTAATATGTGGTTTGGTCTACTTATTATATCCATATAAGTAGTATAAGGTGATGGTCAGACATAGAATGTATTTTGGCAGAAGATCGATAAGGAACGAACAGAAATGAAGAGTAATCAGTATTAAAATGCATAAACAAGGAATTCATAGAAGACAGACTGATATCTACAGAAGGAACATTTAAAATTGAGTCGATTGGTTGGTAGTTTGAATATTAACTGTTTACTGTATGGTTGTTAAAATTTAGTGAGATAGTTTGTAATTCCCGTGTCCAATACATTTGATAGTCCCCAACTCGTGTTCTTCTTCACTACAAATATACTTTATTTTGATTGATTAATTACATCTAGATGAGTTTTGTAATCCAATTGAACTTCGTGCTAATTCTGCCTGAAATAATATAAAGAACAATATTTGATAGAAAGGCCCAGATAGTTCCATAAAGTGAGACTATAATTTATGAACGAATCAATCAGATTTAGGATAAAAAATTTTGGATTTTGGCATCGTTGATAAACAAGGAGGAACGGATGCTGATGTAAAGGCGAGGATTGGCAAAGCCAGGACAGCATTTCTACAATTGAAGAACATATACAACTCAATACAACTGTCAACTAATTTCAAAGTGAGAATCTTCAATATGAACGTCAAGATAGTCCTATTGTAAGGATCTGAAACGTGGAGAACTACTACAACCATCGTCCAGTAGGTACAAGTATTTATAAATAGTTGTTTACGCAAAATACTCAACATTCACTGGTCGGATACCATCAGCAACAGCCTTCTGTGGGAGAGGACAAAACAGCTTTCAGTTGAAGAGGAAATCAGGAAAAGATGTTGTAAGCGGATAGGATATACATTGAGGAAATCACCAAACTGTATTTTCGCAAGCGAAAATGGTGGATACAGAAAGTCCTCCTAGGGAAGTTTGGAAATCCTAATTCGAAACCAATGGTGCACATAGGCTCCACGATCTTGAAGGAGCAAATGATCTATGAACTTATTGTTGGTGACTGGCTTCTATGGAACTGCATTTCGTAACGTTGCTCTACCACCTTGTAGTTTATACCTCTAGGTTAAAGGATCGGAAAGTGTCTCCATAAGAAAACCATCTGCTTCGGTCTGGGAACTCGGATAGTATCACAGCCCTCACGCAAATCAAATGAGATTTGTGTGGCTCATATGTATTTGGTGCCCCTGTGTACCAATATTTATGTATTAAAAGAAATAAATAAATTTGAGTGTCGAAATGAATAATGTGTAGTGTCATCTTGAGTCAGTTTATAAATCAATTAAAGTTATATGGTGAATAATTAGAATGAATATAGATAAGATAAATGGTATAGATACAAGTTAATTCAATTACTTAATCTATGATAACGTGATACATAGAATGATATGTGGGCAAAGTAAGAAGTGTTGAACACCAAGATTAGATTCCATACCTGTTTATAAGGTCGATAATAATGGTAATATTATTATAGATGAAAATTATTGATGTGAACAGCGAAACAAGAAGCCTTAACAAACAATGAAAGCTACTTTTTGGAGGACGTTATTTCATTTAATTCAAAGCTTGTACAAGAGTAACATTTACTTTTGTCCCTAGTCTATTCTACAGATCATAAGCTTTCGTTTGATGTATGATTCACTGACAGCCTTTTCTGTTCCAAAGCTATCGTAATTTGGACGTGACCCTTCATACTCTATTTTCTACTCTAATCCCCAAGTTTTGGACATAATTGTATCTCCCTAATTGTTGTACATTGTGGTCAGGTTAGTTATCTATTTATTTATGTATCTTTTTAAAGTAATCTGGAATTCGGTTATCAGATCGGATTTTGGAATAAAGCGAGTAGTGTTCCAGTTGTCTTGCCTTCTCTCTCTGTCTTGTGTGCTTGTCAGCCAATCGTCTCTCTACCCTCACTTCGAACTCACGCATACTAGCTTCAAGGTTAAGTCAATCAGTCTATTACGTCAAGGTCTTAATTTACATTAAACAAGTTATACTCGGAACGAAAGTGAGTAGACAAATCAAGGACGTAACAATTATATTTGAAATAATCTCAGATATTGAAATTAAAATTATTCTAAAGTTTCATCCAACAAACGTGTTTGAACTTCTTCAGGATAACAATGAAAATCATCATTAAATAGAATAGTTTAGATCAAGTATTTGATTGTTTGATTGAACGAAGACATAATAATTATAAGTTGAAAATAGATTTGTTCATGAAATTAACACATTCTGAGAGATACTTAGATTATGGTTCGGGTTCATGCGTTTTGTACGAAAATTACATTTGGAAAACATCTAATGAACAGAAGTATCATTCTCGTTACAGATAAGAAAGACCAATAGGTTGAATTGAATTGAGTTTTGTCTAAGCTTAGGGATAACAATTACCCCCCCCCCAAATAGTTTTTTTAAAGAAGATTATTAAAAATGAAAGAAAAACTAAACTAGAATGTATACTGAAAAATTGGAAGTCCATCGTGGTCATGCCATATCATGGTGAAACATCGGGAGAAATCAAATGGATTATCAACGAAAATGATATAAGAGTGTATTTTGGGGCTTGTGACACCATAAGATCAGCATTAGTGTAGATTAAGGATAGATTTCTAAACAACGAACAACAGAATATTATCTATGAGATTAACTATCATGATCGTAATGTAGCTTATGTGAGAGAAACTTCCAAACGATTGAATATGAGGTTGAAAGAACACACAGTTAACTTAAAGAAACTTGAAAATAAGTCAGCGATAACGTTACATGCGTTGAAAACAAGACACAAGATTAATTTTGAAGGGATCAAAATACTACAGAAAGATTTTAACATTCATAAAGAACGATTGACAGCAGAAGTACTATATATATATGGGCGAATAAGAACAGCTTGAACTGAATTGATGGTATTCCACTAGTAATTAATTGGAGAATATTCGTCAACAAGTAATTCGATCCAGCCTGTTCATTTCATATACAATGTTAATTTGACTGAAATATGATGATTCTCATTTTACATACACATTAATGATTCAAACACAATTTTTCAACCTTCAACTTGCACTTTTATTTTATTTATTCCTTTAGATAGAAACCAATTTAACACCTAATATCAACTGTTAGTAACCCAATCTTACACATATATCCACAAATTCATTCAGTCAATTATTCACAGAGAGGGGTTTTGTGGATAATATTATAGTAATTCATGAGTCGATTGAAGTTAGACCACTATGGAAAACCTGGAATCACCGAATGTGCATTTAGTCCTAGTATGGGACTCCTCAGCAGTGTACATACACGATTCGACCCCCAAAGATTCGAATCCAAGATCTATCGGTCTCAAGCGCGACCGCTTAACCTCTAGACCACTGAGATGGTCAGCATCCAACGATGTTAATGTCTAACTTCAACCAATCCACGAAATTGAGCAACCGTTCATCATTTTCGTCAGTGAGTTACTATCTCACATCGTGAACTTCTCACATGATTCGCATGTCACTGACTCACGTTGTCCTATTTAATAAAGTTCACATGTATATATGACTGGATTAGCACAATATAGATCTGATTTATTTTGACTGTTAAACACTTTATATATTTCTTTGATGATCTTGATTTCAACTATTGCTCTGAAGAAGTCCAGACAAGTTTGTTGGACGAAACGTTGGAATCATTTAAATTTCAATCGTTGAGATTATTTCACATATAATGAATTCATACTTTTTGTCAAACTGTGCTTTCTAATATTTTGACGAATATTTGTATAAATAATGATAGTAATGGTAATGATAATAGCAATAATAATTGTATTGTCGGTTGATATGTTAAGCCCATATACCCTTATTCTAGCTTCAGGACAAGCCAATTTACCTATCCGTCTTGAGTCCCGTTTTGAACTTGTTAATTACTCACCTATTAACCTTGTCTCTTTTCATATGACGTATGCGTGTGTACACTTCTTGTCCTATTCATCACATATCTGTCATTTATTCTTGTCTGACTATAAACATTGATTAACGCTTGATTAAAATGATTTGGATTACCCGCCGTCTCCAATGCGTGTCATTTTCACTTCGCTCGCTGATATTTACTCATGTGCTTATAACTATCTGCGAGACTAAAGAACATAGACGACCTTTGAACGAATCTTAAATGACCTTGAGAAATATTAGCCAATCAGAAGACAGTTAGTATACAGTAAAAATATATTATACAAAACTAAAAAATTAAAGCGGATACTGTTCTTTTACATGACTCAAAAACTTATCAAGGTCAGATATAGGTTCAGAAGTTCTAAAATCATAGTGCATCCGGTACAGGAACTCATCCCTGTGGCTCCATAGTAGTCAACCTCTGGAACCATGATAAAGTCTCGAAAACTCTTTAGGCCTCGACCACATAGTTTCAGTGTTGTCGGTATGTTGTTATGGTTTAAGGTTTAGGATTAGGGTTAAGGTTTAGGTTTACGGTTTAGGGTTAAAGATGAAACTATAAATTATGGGCGACCTTTGAGCGACGCTAGAGTGACTATGAGAGTGTCAACATAATAACTAAGACTAAATGGGGGTTATAAACCTGTGTGAATAATTCAAATTATGATTTACAGTTCATGGTTAAGGTTAGGAATTATACTTAGGGTTTTCATCACCAACTGACATCAGCTATAATGTCACAACTCTATCAAAATGTATTACTGAATTTTGCGCCAAAATCTTACGATAAATTATCTTATAGACCCTTAATTATAACGTTTTCTCTAAAACCCATTGTAAACCGACCGTACGTAAGCGTCAGGTACCAAACTTAGCGCCGTGACCTTGAAAACCCGCGAAAGCTTCTGATTGGCTCGTCCATGTTCTTTAGTCTCGCCTAACTTTCTGGTCTGCGTCATTTGTCAATAAAACTGTAGTTACCGCTTCTCTTTGTCTTCTACTTTTATGCGACGTTAAGATTTGTATTATTATAACGGTTAATCGAGGTGAACAATCGGCGAAGAATGGCATTACATAATAATATCTAAGACAGATTCAAGCTATTGAATTACAATTAAATTACACCAAGTTTTGAAACGTTAGAATTACATTTTCCTACTCATAGGGATATCATAAATATATATGCGCACTGCTGAGGAGTCCCACGATAGGACGAAATGGCCATCCAGTGCTTCCAGGTTTTTCACGGTGGTATAGCTTCAATTGACTCATGATTTCAACTATATATATTTATTTATTATTTACAAGAGGAAAGGTTTCCTATACACTTTCCAAATTATATCATCCTATAATTAGGATAAATGTTGACAATATTGGTCCTTATGTTGTTTAAGATGCTACGAACAACTGGACGTATTGTCTGTGTAGCAGAAGTTCTGTTTTGTTTACATTTTGTTAATTAATATAAGTATTGCGGGGTGTGGTCTATTTATATCCACATAAGTAGTATATGATAATGTTCAGACATTGAATGTATTTTGGAAGAAGATCGATAATGAACCAATTGAAATAAATCGTAATCGGCACGAAAATGCATAAACAATGAATTCAGAGAAGATGGACTGATATTTGCAAAAGGAACAATCAAGATTAAGACAATTGAGTGTAATTTTGCAAATTAACCGTTCACTGTATGGTTATCAGAATTTAGTGAGATAGTCTGTAATTTTGCGCATAGAGGCATCCGATTGTTCCCACTCATGTTCTTGTTCAATACAGTATTAGAAGATTCGGAATCCGACAAATTCCAACAAACAATTACTTAGATTAAAGATTACTGCATATATTTACACTGACTGTATGACTCGCTTGAAGTAAATGGGCTAGAATCAAGGTGTTGACCATCTTAATATTCAGCCCTAGTAAGTAAGATTAAGATTGATTTAGGCTATTTATGAAACGATTAGTTAACATTTCATTTTATTATTATTAATACATATCTTCGCTCTATCACTATTTCAGTATGAAGAATAGTATATTCCCTGTTGTCAAAATGTATTTTATTGTTGAAATGTGTGACTGAAATCTTTTACGATAATTTATTATTATCAGTGGTCTAGAAGTTAAGCGTTCGCTCTTGAGATCGATAGTTCCTGGGTTTGAATCTCTCAAGGCGAAATCGTGGATGTGCACTGCTGAGGAGTCCCATACTAGGACGAAACGGTCATCCAATGATTACAGGTTTTCTAAGATGGTCTAGCTTCAATGAACTCATGATTTCAACTAAACTAAACTATCTCGCTATTTATGATTTAAAATACAACAGTTAAAACAAAATGAACAGAATTACCTGATATTGTCTGTAAGCTGTTCGTTCTTTGGCACGATAATTCAATGCTAACTGTTCAAAATAATCAGCTGTTTTATGCTTAGCTATACATATGAAGTAGATCATAAATATAAGAGGTATAATTGTAAGGCCTAATAATAATGGACCAACAGTTTGACCACGATTAACTGTATAAAATTCCATACCGATTACATAGTGTAGTATAGTTAAAATTATCCCAATAAGTAATAATATAATACTGAATATAGCTAGAATAGTAGCCATGAAACAACCACATCTAGCAGGACCATTGATTAGAGGATCAGGTGACCATGTACAACAATCACTTTGTATACCGTCATCATAAATAACATGACATGGATTTCTATTCAATGGTGAAGCCAAAGGATATAAATGATGCGTTGGGACCACTTTTTGTTCATTTAATGGAATTTCAGCAGTTTTCGATAACTCATCAGGTTCATTTAGAGGAAGTAGATTATTCTGTGTTTTCATACAGTACAAATTCTGAAATCCAAAAAAAATCACTTCATGATGAAGTTTATAAAAACCATTCATTGAGAAACATTATACACTTATATTATAACTTGTGACAGAATGGATGCTCTGTTAACGTATAACGAGAAAAAACTGCCAATCAGAGAGCGGCGAATTATCGATTGGAACAGTGACACACGAAAACCGTATGAGCAGTCTAGAGTACTTATCGATCCTAGTTTCTGCCTAGCCCAGTCAGTTGAGTCGAGAACAACCTCTGCGGTATGAATAATTATATCTCAAACATACTAAGTTTATATACCAATAAAACAGACCACATCGTACCATAAAATAGGAAGTAATATTTGTATAGGATACAACCAGATGTGGCTGTGAATAGAGGGGAAGAGTAATTAATAGACTCGGGATAATTCAAGAATGGTAAATCGTACAGTAATAAACTTTGGGTCAAGATAAAGCTTATAATAAAAGGGACACGAATATGAATAGTTTAGTTATATAACGATTATACGATAAAAAATATACGCACATTATTGGTTCATAAATAGATCCCAAAGTTACCATTCATAATTCTCTTCGGGATACAACAACTTAGTCCTCTTTATCATATTGAAAAAGAGTTTTATTTAAATTTATTTATTTAAACACATAAATATTGGTACAAAGAAGGCACCAGATAAATATGCGCCACACAAATCTCATTTGATTTGTGTGAGGGCTGTGATATTACCCAGGTGACCAAACCGAAACACGTGGTTTTCTTAAGGGACCACACCCCGAGCCTTCGACCTAAAGGTCTGACTGTTATATCCCCTGGTGAATTATGAATGGTAACTCTAAGGACTATTTATCGACCAATGTATTATGCGTATTTCCTATTTTACAATTATTGCGTAACTGAACTATTCATATTCGTATTTCTCTTGTCATTAGCTTTAATTTTGACCTTCGACTTATTATCATACGATTCTTGAGTTATAATCAGTTTATTGACTACTTTGGTTTGTATAAAAACCCAGTATGTTTGTAAATAATGATTCATATTGCCGAGGCTGTTATTTGTGTTCTGGACTTAACGGGCTGGGCTAGGCAGATAGGAAGGACCGAATAGCACTCAAGACGGCTTGTACGATTTCAAGTATCATTTGCTTCCGATCAATAAAATCCACTCCTCTCTAATTGCACGTTCATATATATATTACGAGTTCATACAATATAACACTGACCCATGAGGTAGTGGAGCATCATGAGGAGATACAGTCCCATGCTAGCTGACGACCAACGATTAATTCATACGCCATTTGTTCCCTCAGGATACTGGAGCCTATGTGCACAATTGGTTTGTAATCAGGGTTTTTTAACTCCTCTAGGTGGACCTTCCGTGTCCACCAACCTAGTTAAAACGCCGTAAATTTGCTTTTCGTCCTCTCAATTTCGTAAACAACAGTAATGCCACGAGAAGTCAGTGAGTAGGACTTTTGTAGCAGAGGCTATATACGCGTGGTCATGTGAGAGCATTTCCAGAGGGATGATGGCCCCTACTCACTCTCGAACGTAAAAAGGCATTTAAGGGCTAAAGTTATCCTTCATAAATCTCTTTGGGGATACAACAATTTAGTTCTCTTTATCATCTTGAAAAAGAATAAGAACAATGAATTGAATAGAAATAACATGAATTAATTTGATTTCGTCAGATTTTCATCAACTACTTACAAACCCAAGTATTTTAAAGTCAAAATTATTGTAAAGTTTTCACATACTTATAACAACAAAAGTAGATTTATATCATTCCATGATTGTCTAACTTTAATTAACTCATGAACTAAACTATTAAATTCATTCTAAATAGTTATTGTTGCATAGTCAACTAATTGATTGATTAAAATTTATGTTTTAATTGAACGAAATCATTCATAAACAAAAAAACGTATTCCGATTTACTACATCAGAAGCGATTTCCTGGAGATTTTCAGTAGTTTTACAGTTGAATTCATGAGTCCATTGAAACTAGGTCATTATGGAAAACCTAGAATCACTGGATAGCCGTTTCGTCTTCTTGTGGGACTCGTCAACAATGAGCTATAAAATTACTAAAAATCTACACAAAACCCCTTATAATAATAATAATCAACATATGCTTACTAGTGACTGGTTTCAAGAGGTATTTCTTGAAGTTTTAGTGAGAAGCAGTGACTAGTGGAGTTCAACCAGATCTCTTTTGAGATAGTAACTCACTGAGGACAATAGTGGACGGTTGCTGAATTAAGTAGATTGGTCGAAGTTAGACATTAACATCATTGGATACCGGCCATCTCAGTGGTCTAGATGTTAAGCGCTCTTGTGCGAAACCGATAAGTCCTTGGTTTGAATCTCGGGAGGCGGAATGGTGGATTTACACTGCTGAGGAATTCTATACTAAGACGAAACGACCGTCCAGTGCTTTCATGTTTTCCATGGTGATCTAGCTTCAATTAACTCATGAACTCAACTATTAAATTCATTCTAAATAGTTAATATTGAATAGCCAACTAATTGGTTTATTAAAATTTATGTTTTAATTGAACGAAATCATTCATTAAAAAAAAACGTTTTCAGACTTGCCATCATAATAATGTAGGCTTATACACAATACTAATCAAATTACAACTACCTAAGGTTAAATATTTTTTTTTTGACCAATCATTATCAAGTTTAATGAGCCAATCATTAATACAGTAGAGACAATTAAACCAATTGTATATATAACTATGGACATTTTGCTTTATCCACCTTCAAAGATCCACTACCATGTTAGTTTTATGAATGTTTGATTCCTGGTACATATTCTTAAAAAGAGTTCATGAAAGTTCCTGCTAAAAACTGTTATTGGTGATTGTTGAGTATCTCTGTCGCGTGTAGTAGTCAACCTATTTTTTTTAATTTCTGAAAGTTGTATATATATTTTGAATATACATATTAAATCACAAGACAATTTATTCAACGAAGAAATCCTTTACAACGACTTCATCTATCTATATATATATCATCAGTGCTGTTAAAGACACGATGGAGGTTATCACTTTCCGGTCGCTCACACTGTGAGAGGGTTCTTCCAAAAATTCCTATGAAAAAAATATAAAATTCACATTCATATAAATCAATAAAACTGATTTTGACTTTTGCTGATTATAAACCTAACAAACTGATGTGATTATCAGTGTGGGGTATTGGAGATTCTTAAGCTTTTGATCGAGATCATGAATCTATGAGTGCTAGACCACCATTGAAAACCTGGTATGAAACTCCTCAGCCGTGACTAGAGGAGCTAATCCATATCAGGTCGAAACAGGTATCTACCTCAGACAATGAGAGATGGCCGCACAATTTCGTGAATTATTTGAGGTTAGATATTAACACTACTGGGCATCTCAATGGTCTAGTGGTTAAGCGTTCGCGCGCGAGACCGGAGGTCTTGGATTCGAATCATGCGTGCGGGATCGTGGAAGAGCACTGCTGAGGAGTCCCATACTAGGACGAAATGGCCGTCCAATGTCTTCAGGTTTCTAATGGTGATCTAACATTCATCGATTCATGATCTCAATCAAAATGTGATGTGACTTGATTCGAGGAGAGATAGATGATCCAAACGCTAACATAAGTTTAATTTGATACCAGATACTGGCATCAAAATTAATAATTCCTTAAGTCTTTGACATTGGTGCCGACTTTATTAGCTTTATTGAACACACTTTAAAATGAAGTCTCATTCGATGAATCCAGTTGTTATATTCCAAAGAGAATTATGAATGGTAACTTTTGAGAACTATTTATGGACCAATATGATATATATATTTCCTATTGTATAATTGTTAAGTAACTCAACTATTCATATTCATGTTCCTTTTACTGAAAGCTTTGTTTTGACTTATGAACTATGATTATACGATTCACCATTCCTGAGTTACACTCAGTCTATTAATTACTGTTCCTCCCTATTCACAGCCATATTTGACCAAATCTTGTCCAAATGTTGTCTTCTATTTTATGGTACGATGTGGTCAGTTTTATTGGTATATAAACCCAGTATGTTTGAGAATAATGATTCATATTGCAGAGGCTGATATTGGTGTTCTGGACTTAACTGGCCGGGCTAAGCAGAAGCAGGACCGATAAGTGCTCTAGACTACTCGTATAGGTTTCCGTGTATCACTCGTTCGATCAATAAATCACTGCTTTCCAACTGGCGGGAAATATCGCGTCATATATAAACAGGGCATCCGAACAGGCCACACGTCATAACAACAATGTTTGAATATTACCATCATTATTCGCAAACAGTTTATAAGTGTTGTAAGGAAACCATTTCATATTTCTTCACAAATCCAATTATATGGAAGTTTCAATATTGTGTACATAATGTTCATCGTATTTAAACAGGTTCTTCAGTATTTAAAAGAATATTAAGTTGAAATTGAGGAAAAAATGAAGGAATGAGTGAAAAATGTGTTAGTAATTTAATGAACATGTTTGTGAAACTCCACCTGTAGCCCTCCAGGAGCTACTGCCAGTCACAAACCCGGATAAAAAATGAGGGTTGGGAATTCGGTTAGCGACCCCATCACGTAGAAAACTAACTCGCTAAAAAAACGCTAACCGGGTAGAATAATTCAAAACATGTTTTTGAAACAGAATAAGAGTAAACGATAATGTGTGTAGTAAGATATGACGATAGAATTAGAAATTTATGCGGTAATAGTTTAGAATAGTGTGCAAGAATGTCCTAAATGATCAGAGAGAATGATCTTCCAATTTCTATTTGCATGTGTCATTTGAGGGTCAATTTTCAATAAATTGTCTGATATTGATGTTAACTAGAATGTCATATTCGAAAATTCAATGATACCTTTTTATATAACAATAGTCTAGATTTGATGTTACTGAAATCTACCATTATGAATACAATGAGCTCCCTAGCTTTAGATACTTGAGATGCAACATGCTCGGAAAAGTTCAGCCCATTTCTGTATCTCAAGCCCATGTCGCAAACGGTGTTGGGAGGTTTCAGTGAATGTTACTCTATAGTCAGATTTAGGTCAAGGCAATGGTCAATATGAATAAATCCACTTTTGTCAACATAGCTTCCAATGTCGCTAATTGACCCCGTTCTGAATCTACGAATGATAAACGATCTTTCCCATACAGATGAATTGGCTTCATAGTTCATAGAAGGGTTGAACTGTTTTAAACAGAGTAATAGGAACTCTCAACGACCGTATTTCAGGGATGATTCCAAAATGCCATCAGCTCCACCGTCGTAGAAAATTTCAAGGCAGTGACAGCCTGATCGATGCTGGTGGATATAAAATCCATTGAGGACAGATGATGAGTTGTCAACATTGGGTGCGTATTGATGGAGTTTTCCGATAATGTAATGTGGAATCACAAGAAATGTTGGCTGAACTATTCACAAATAGTGTCAGGTATATCTACAACATTTCCGTTAATTGACTTCCTTTTTGAAATGTCCTCGGTGAAACTGTTTGTTTTATGATGTTTTGTTCACCAACTGACTTAGAAGTATGTAAAATTAAAGAGAATAGTCGAGCTATTATTAGCTTTTTAAGTGTGGTATTGACAAAATAATTATCGACCCGTTTTTCGGCTCCTCTAGAATATTTGTTTATGTGGTGGTATTGTTTCATAACTACACGATCTTCGAAGCCCAGTATGAAATTATTCGTAAGATTTGCATTCAGCATATAACACTCAGAGGACGTCAAAAATGGCGAACGCGGAAACAATGATCGGTATGACATGGCATACAGGATAAGACGATGCAGCATAGACATTGATGTGACTCCCACATAAAATCTTATAGATTAGGTAATCACAATATGACAAATCTGTAATTTGGGCGATTAGGTCTTTTATTATGGTAACAGAAATAAAGGTGCTAATACTGAACCATACCATAATAACGCAGACTATCATCAATTCTCATATTCACTTTAACCATATCGGTTGGTTTCTACTTATGCTAACCCATTTTTCTATTAGTCTGTTGACTAGTTCTCAGGTGTATTGTCATATTAAAGTATTGATTAGTGCTCATGGCTTACTAGACCTGTCGATACTAATAACTGGTCATCTACATTGACAAATAGCTGTGATGGTGTAGTATCAGTTTATATGTTAAGCCCATATACTTTATTCTAGTTACTGGCCAAGCCAATTCACCTGTACATTGAGTCATCTTTTGATCTTGTTAATCATTTGCTTATTAACCTTGAGTACTTTTTATATGAGCGCATATGTGTACACTTCGTATCTTATTCATCATATGTCTGTCACTCATTTTTGCCTGCCTATAAATGTTAGTTAACGCTTGCTTAAAATGAGTTGGCTTCCCAGCCATCTCCAATACGCCTCATCTTTGCTTCGCTTGCTTACAGTTGCTCATGTGCTTACAACTTTCTGGTCTGCATCGATTATCAATAAAAATGTAGTTGCCGCTTCCCTTTGCCTTCTGATATTATACACCGTTCAGATTGTTATAATAACGGTTATCAAGACGATCGATTAACGAAGCACTACACTACAAAACTGGTAATCCCGACGTACGAACACGCAACACAATTAGCGATCCCGACTTACGAACGCGAAAACATAATTGGATGTCTCGCCGAACGAACATCGACCAGAATCGACAACCTCGACGTACGAACTCACAACATAATTGGCACGCCGTATTTGGAACACGCGACAGAATCGGCAACCGCAACGAGTGAACACAAATCAAAAATGAAACCGTCGACGACATATTCCGTTATGATTCGAATAATCATCATATGCTCATTATTACAATAATGTCATATCATCATCTAACGTGGAATTATTATTTTTGTTCTTATTGACATTAAACTATGACATTTACGCGGTCATATCACTAATCGAACAAATTATAATGATATGGACATTACACGTTATGATATTCGAAACTCACTGGATTATTTTTATTATCCAATGACGTACAATTTTCCTGATTCAAGTGAGTTCGTTCCAATTTTTTTTTCATGTCATTTTCGGTCTAAGATAACACTATCATAGACATAAGTTTGGAGTCATACTCCCGATAGTAGGAACTTATGTTCTCGATAGACAACTAATGTTCATTCATTTCATTGGTACGCAGCAACCGTCGTTTCCTACATTTTCAGCGACAATCTAAACCGAACTTCCGCAATTTTTGTTTCACTATGATCCCTACTTTAATGTCTATACACAAATTAAGTATTCGACGCCGCATTACCAGCCGATTAGTAATGATTATGTTCATATTATCTATTCATTCATATGTATATCTGAATGCTGCATCATCCATCACCGATAATCACAATTCGATTACTGCAATTAATATTTTATTTCCATTGTACTGTACACCAGAACATAGAGTTTAGAGCTAGTCTCTCAAAGTTACACTCTTGTTCGTCACATTCAAGTCAGTCTCACTCGCTGCCATCGACAATCATATGTATTGGTATTTTTATCATGCCTTAAAACGGTTTCGTAACAAACGAGGTTTAGCGCATATCCCTCTAACTACACAAGCCACGATAGGCTTCATGACC